AACTATTTAAAAAGCTGAAGAAAAACCTTTGTGGCTGTATTCAATATTTAAAATATGGTATGCATATCCACATTCTGAAACATCCAGTAGAAAAAGGCTCCATGGCTCGTATTTCAGAGTTTAGGCTCAACCTATACAAGACCAAAAATATGAGCCAAAGTAAGATGTATGAAGTGAATTCTTTCTGTTTGGTGGTAAGCACGCCCGCCCATCAGTCATCTGCTTCATCTGCCAACTTCATGGTATTATGTAAGCTCTGAGCCATGTATTAGTAAGATCCTCAACCTGGCAGCAGGGCCACCTCAACCCCAGAGGGCTAATCCCAGCTTCACCTCCGCAACACTTACTCTCACTTTAAGCCCACATCTTCTTACTTATGTTCACATAAAACTGCTTGACAGTTTCACCAATGTGCAGTACTCATCTTCCTTTTATGTCTTCTTTTGTTTTTTTTTTTTTGGTTTTTCTCCGGTACCGGGAACCGAACTCACGACCTTGCGCTTGCCAGGCAAGTGCTTTTGCCGCTGAGCTAAATCCCCAGCCCCTCATCTTCCTTTTATGAAAGGCCTTGAGAATCTAAGTACTTACACATACCTATATTACAATGCATACCCATGTACCTACACAGCACATACATAGTACTTTACAATAGGAAAGGCTCCCAAGTTATTGGAAGCACCTATTACTTGCCCTCCCCTACTGATTTAATAGGTTCCCCTACTGAATCTTCATCTATAACTTCTTTTTAACAGTGATTCTAAACATTTCCTTCCTTGCTAAATAAAAGCTATCATTACCGAACTTTTCTTAACCAACTTAATCTCCTTTCAAAACCGGTGACTATTCATCCAGAAACATGTACTGACAAAGATTTAGTGGCAACACAACATATAAAACACGTTAGGATTTTTTCCAACAAACAGAAGATCAAATATAAATTGTTTGAACAGTTTTCACAAGATCAAAAACTTACACATCAGCCAAAACTATTCGCGTCCGTGTCACATTCTCTATGGTAAATTTGGTTTTTCCTCCTTTGCCAGCAATTCTTCCTATTGCTCTGGATAGGTGGTCTCCCTTTAGAGGCTTAACTAAAGGAGAAAAGCAAGATGTCATCCGGCAAGCTACTCCAGTGCGCTGCACCTTCCATATAGTTTATTAACTAAATAAGCATTTTTTGGAAGGGTTAAGCCAGGCGTGGTGGTGCAGAGGCCTGTAATCCCAGCACTTAGGAGGCTGAGGGAGGAGAATCGTTGCAAGTCCAAGGCCAGCTTGGGCTACAAAGTGAGCTCAAGGCTGAACTGCATACTGAGACCCTGTCTCAAAAAGACCAAAAAAAAAAGAAAAAGAAAAGAAAAAAAAAGGGGGGCTAATAACATAGCTCAGTTGATGCTGTTAAAAAAAAAAAATTAAGAATCAAAACACAATCAAAATCAGCAAGCGAAAAGAACAGTTTTTCATAGAAGACCACCACAAACTTACCATCTGTAATTTCAAAAGACTCCAGAAAGAGGTCATCTAACCTGATGAGGGCAAGCGCATCCTAGAATATAAAAATAAACACCACGGAGGTCCTTTCATCACCCACACACAGTACTTGAGAATGAGTGACATGGGAAGCAACGGGGGATTAAAATGAACTCCAGTGTTAGAACATACACATTTAAAAACTGACTTATCCACCAAATAGTCCACACTAAATATTGGTCTAGCTGGCTGTAGTGGTGCGAGCCATCCCAGCACTCTGGGATGCTGAGGCAGGAGGACTGCAAGTTCAAGCTCAGCCTTTTCAACTCAGTGAGACCCTTTCCCAAAATAGAAAAAAAAGGGCTGGGACATAGCTCAAGGTGAAGGTCTCAGGCACAATCCCTAGTAATCTCCCTTTCCATTTATTTTGAAGTCCCCATTACAGATGTCATGAAATCACTCACCTCCACCTGAAATCCAAGAATAAAGGCCTTTACAAAATCAGCTGCTTTTGTCAGAGCACTAGCATCCTTGGTTTCTTTACAAGTCTGAAAACAAAAACAAACAAAAAACAGGTACAAACTTACAGAGAAGAAATAACCTCTCCATTATTTTACTTTCTTTCACCACCACCCTTTTGCTATATAGTTTGCATAACTCAATTTTGGTGGGGCAAACATTATCTTTCATTTGCAAAACAAACGCTTCCAATCGGGGTGGGAAATTCCACCCAAAGACTGCCAACTGCCCAATGACTGAATACACTACGTGACCCCTCAGAGTTTGGGGTTAACAGCATTTCCGTGGCACAGCTGCTCAGTGACCCACATTCTGCAGGACCTCCATCCTATCCATCCCCTCAAATGTACCAGCTGGTCCTCTTCTCTTTCTCCTCAAAGCAAGCTTTCTTGGGAGTTCTGACCTAATCTTCTGACTTCAGTGGTCATTTATCTGCTGATGTCTCCCAAATTAACAAGTCCAGCTCTAACTACTTGCTTGGCCGGTGCTGAAGGGGAAACCAAGTAGAGACTCTGCTCTCAATTTCTTCAATAACTGCAGAAACAGCTGATATTCATAAAATTCCTACTTGTGTAAATATAATAAATGCTTTAAATGTCTTAGCTGTCGTCTTCAAGATAACCCTGAATGCCAAGTGCTAAAAATTTATATGAGGAAATTAAATAATGAAAAGTGAAAAAGGGTAAGATTCAAACACAAGTATTATTCCTCTTCTACTCTCCCACCCATAGTCACAATTTAGATGAGACAAATTTAAAACCATAAAGAACTGTATAATGGGAAAGCAAATCCCAAGTCCAATCCTATTATGTAACCATGACAAGCCTCATGGATACTTCCTGCCTCAAATTCTCTCATCTGTACAATAAAGAGGTCAAACTGGAAGATCCTGAGTGGTTGTCTCACGTATCACCAGCCTAATGACTTTGGCCAAGATATCCCACTTCTTTGACCTCTCAGTTTCCTCACATCTGTAAGAGGGAGATATATTCTCTACTTCATAAACCTAAAGACCAAATGATGTGGTTCATGGCAGAATACCACTACATGTCTATATATGGCAGCGTCAACAAGTATTAGTGGAGTCCAAATTGATGAGTCCGCAACAAACACAGACAACCAGGCACAATGAAAGTGTGGACATTGAAGAAATGACTGAAGGAGGACTTACAGTGGAAAAGAACTTTAGGTAGATCCTGACAGGCAATGGAATAAAGCAGGAAGAGTAAAGGAGGGAAGAGAAGAGGTGCTCTGTCAAAGCAAAGCCACCAGAAAGTGTGAACGTAAAAAAGTGCTGAGAGATGAACTTCTGCCTGAGTCTATGTGAAAGGCAGACACGGTCAACCACTGAACCCTTACTCTTTAGAAGCGCTGGAGATGCGAGAATGTCATAATAGAAGCACTGTCCTCTGCAAAAATGAATCTAGCAGTCACAGAGTATGGAGTGGAGAGAGAAACTTAAATAATGATGCAAAGGAACCCTTACAAGAAACAGTAGGTCAGGGGCTGGGGATTTAGCTCAGCGGCACAGTGCCTGCCTGGCAAGCACAAGGTCCTGAGTTCGATTCTTGGTACGGGGGCAGGGGAAGAAACAGTAAGTCTTGGAATGAAAGCCTGAATTAGGGTGGCAACGGCAGCACACCCAGGCGCTATCAGTCACATCCTGTAATACTTTAAACTTCACCAACTATTTAGAGTGGTGCCTCTTTGTACCATGATTATAATCCATTCACAGACTGAAGTTTATAAAAGTACTGACAATGCTGTAAGAATCTTCAGGAAGGAAAATGTACTTATATTTGTTATTTACACACTTTATGCAGAGGTTTGGCCAATACTCTGGTATGATTTCAGAATCAGTGATGAATTCAGTTAACATCTGTGTTGAAGGCAGATTCTGAAGGCATTTGTTAAGTTCAAATTTACTACGATATATTTAAACAGTTGAAGAAAACCATTTAATAGAGAAAGTTCCGTTAAGGAAAATCTACTCATGCGCTTTCATTCAAGGAGGAGAAAAACCCAGTATGTTTGCAAATGGTTAACATTCTCCTTACCCTGATTTCTACATTTCTTGATTTCAAGTTAAAGCGTATCTGGAGTCCCAAATGCTCTACAATAGGTGTAAATATCTTCATCCAGTTCTCTTTTAACGGCGTGTACCTGTTAGCTGGAACCGGAATTTTCCGTGTTTCTTCTTTCCCACTCTGCAATTAAAGAGACAACTCAGGAGACGTCCTGGAGGGCGGTGGGTGGGAGTGTGTGATGACAGCCGACCCACACAAGACGGCCCTTGGCCAAACTAGTTAAAACTGCAGAAAAGTCACTTCTCCAAAACTCTCACGGCTTCGACATCATCCAGAGACCACAGTTTTGCCCCGCCCACAGCCCCCGCTCCGCTCCCGCCCCGGGGTCCCCAATAGTACCAGCAGTCCATCCCCGGCGAGGGGCGGGAAGACCGGCCTCTTCGCCGGCTGGGCCTCCCCCGTGTCCATGCAGCCCGCGTCCCCGCCCTCCCCCGCTTCGGACAATCGCTCAGACTTTCGTTTCTTCGCCCGCCGGGCACCCTTCCGGGTGACCTGGGTGAACCCTTCCTCGGCTCCCGCACTCTGTGTCTCCATATCGGCCATCTCCAGACCCGGAAAGCGCTTCTAACTAGCACATGTGCGGTACTACATTGCGCATGCGCCAAGCACAGGCTCCAGCCTTCGCCAATCAACCCCAGGCCTCCGCCCCTCCTGAGGTCCCACACTAGGGGTCCTGAAGCAGGATTGGTGAGGGAGTCTATCTGAGCTATCCTAATATATGCCTGAGTTTTCGGGTGGCCCTCCGACCACACAACTCACAACCAAGACATTTTGTAATCACTAGTATGTATATGAGCAAAAACGAGTGGTAAAGGCGCTAACAAAATTGGGCCGCCCTTGGAGAAACAGCTTGCGTGACCTCGGGAGCCCATCTGGCGTTATTGAAGATAGCTAAATCCAATTTGCTAGGGCGTCAGTGGGGCGGAGTACGGCAAGCGGAAAGGACCAACTGCTGTTAAGTTTGGAGTCTGGTTTCTAAGTTAGTGGTTTGTTGGGGTCTCGGTGTGTACAGCTGAAAAGGGCTAGACCATGTCGGCTTTCGAGAAGCCTCAGATCATTGCCCATATTCAGAAGGGCCTCAACTACACGGTGTTTGACTGTAAATGGGTGCCCTGCAGCGCCAAGTTTGTGACCATGGGCAACTTCGCACGGGGAACCGGCGTAATTCAGCTGTACGAGATCCAGCACGGGGAACTGAAGCTGCTTCGGGAGGTGGGTGCCGGCTCGAGACTATCCAGTTCCAGGCTCTGAATGCCTTTGGGGACGAGTTCCCCCACATCCCCCACGCTCTTTGCCACAGCGATCGTCCAGCGTCCCCCAAAAGCATAGCTTGAGCAGCCAGAGACCAGGGAAGTTGATTGCAGATTTGAGAAATACTTCGGATCTAAAACCTTGCTTTCAAGTCCTGCGGTCACATCGCGGACTTGTACCTCCGCGTCCGGCCATCCCCTTTCTCCTGCCACCCCCGGGGTAGTGCAGCACAAAGTCTTTGAAAAGGGACGCTAAGATTTCAAATCTAAATTCGAGAACCATTTAGTTTGCAGTCGTTTGTAGAAAGTTTTAGTGCACCCACGTAATGCTTATTTTGGAAGCAGAGCTAACGCGGGCACCAGGATACTTGTAGTTAGAGAAGACAACCGAAAACACTTATTCTTTGCACAAGGGTTGGTGAAGTGCTTGATATTCTCAGGCATGTGAGTGGCGATACTGCCGATCTCATGGAGTTAATTTTCTAGTGAGAGACACCTTTAGTTTAATAATCAAGCAAGGATGCATAAATACAAGCCGAGGTGAGTTCGCACACACAAAGAACATAGTTCCATGAGTGAAAACAGACTTGGGACGAGTAGAAACTAGACCAAAGTGGGAGTAGAAGACGAATTTTCCAGACGAAACAGCATGTACAGGAGTTTAGTAATGGGAGAAAATTTGTCCCCTCAGGAAACAAGACGAGTAAGCAGGAACCGCACATGGCAAAATCTGTAGGACCTTTAAAAGACTTTTTACGAGGAAAAATAGATCATTGAGACTTTTAGCAAGGTGTGATAAGAACAGATTTACGAGCGTTGTAAAGGTCACTCGTGAAAGATTTAGAGGATAAGCGGGCGTGGTGGCACACGTCTGTAATCTCAGCACTGGTGAGGCTGAGGCAGGAGGATCCTGGCGAGTTCAAAACCAGCCTGGGCTCCAAAGTGAGCTCAAGGCCAGCCTGAACTGTATAGCGAGACCCTGTCTCAGAAAGACAAAAAAAAAAAAAAAGATTTAGAGGATAAAGATAATAACTAGCATTAAAAAGTGTAATTTGATAAGTTTCCTTACTTATCAAATTGGCTGGCCTGAAGCTCTGTGATCCTCCTACACCGAGCCTTCTAGATAATGCTAGTATTACAGGTGCAGACAATCATGCTAGGCTAACAACCCACATTTCTGTAGCTGTTTGCAGTTTCTTAAATGTCTAGAGTTGGATTGTTTAAAGGAAATGATTAGTCATAATCAGATATTTAGGATTGTGATAGACTACAAGTGCAGGGGATATTGAGAACACCAGGTATCAAAAGCTATGGAGATACCAGGCAAACAGACGCACACCTGTAATCCCAGCACTCCAGGAAGCTGAAGTGAAATTTACAAATCTTACCAGGCCTGCCTGGTAAGAGCTAAGTCCCGAATTCGATTCCTGGTACCTAGATAGATAGATAGATAGATACATACATAGATAGATAGATACATAGATAGATAGATAGATAGATAGGAGGGAAGTAGATAGGCTGGGCATGTAGTTTAGTGCAAATCCCTTGGGTTCAACCCCGTAGTAACACACACACAGCTGTGGAATTGGGTTAGACGAGATGGGAGTTCAATTGCTAGGGAAAAGATGAATACACTTTGGATAAGCAAGCTTAGATGAGGTGCTGACCCATTTTAAATTCCCCTGAGTCCCTTTTTCATGTTCAGTTTGCTTTCCCTAGCTGAATTTATAAGAATGGCTTGTTCTTTCTGCCTTTCCTTATATTCATCACTTCACTCCCTGTTGCTGTTCCAGATTTTCTGATGTATGATTCCTTCCTGATCCCCAAAGTAGTTTTCTTTTTGCTGCATTCTTGTAGTACTTACTGGTGATAGAAATATAAATTCTGTCCCATTTATCTCTAACTAGATTGTAAGCTCCTTGAGAGTAAGACAATGCCTTTCTTTGGTGTAGTTTGTAAGGAGCCACTCAATAAATTACTCACTAAAAGAGTGAATGAATGTATGCCTATAAATAGGATGTAATGAGAAATTTAAAGACTAATTTAATAAAAAAAGGAAAAGTATTGGTAATAAATGCCAATTGAAACTCAACTAGGAACCATCTAAAAGACTTATGGCTTTTTGAATGAGAATTTACAGACTTGTACAGACTTCAGAAATATATTTATTCTATTGAGTTTTAATAGTCTTGTCTCTTTTAGTTTCTGGAGAATTCTAGGAAATTAAAAAAA